CCATTAGTTCTTTACATTACTCGTGGTCGTTCCGATTATGCGGACATTGCACCAGCCTTAGCCAGACATATTCATAATAAGCCAGACAGACAAAATAGTACAGTTTTGTTTCTTTATCTAACTTCATCCATAGAAGATTTACAACGGCTTGGTTATCCAACAGAAAATATAAAGAAACCATCCTTAGGTAGAATATACAATATATCGTCATCATCTACAGGAGAATGGACAGATTCAGTAACAACTACAATGGATGGAAATTCAATTTTACAAAAAATATTGCGTGACACGATTAAGTCTATTAAATCAAACAATCGAAATTTTTTTCCTACTCAACTATCCATATTAGACTTTCAGGTGGAAAGTCATTGCGATGTTATACCAGGTATTGTATTATTTCTACTTAATACAATAATTTTATTTACGTTTACGCTAGCATTAGTGTTTCAATAAATTAAAATTGGTATGATCTTTACTGCTTTATACGTATAGAAATTAATTTGACTTTTGCTCAAAATGAGAATGGAATTCAACTTTACGTTGGAAAACATTTGGATCCATCTATTCTTCGATCCCTAGACAAACCTTTGAAAAATTTCATTGAAGTTCTTGTTAACCTTGCTCAAGTTTTTGGACTTTTGCGTGATCAGATTAACATATTTTACGATAATGATTCAACATCTGTTGCATTTAATCGTAACAGCGCTTTATTCTTTAGCTTGAGGTACTACCTCGATTTTAATGACTCTGAAGATTTCGTAATTACAAGTGACATCCTGACCTCTTGGTTCATGGTAATGTGTCATGAATTGTCACATAGTATTATTAAAGTACACGGTGAAGAACACGAGGTAAGATTTTTGAAGATTTTTAAAATTTTCTCTTATATAATACTTGTGGCTTAATCCTCTATTGTTTTATATCATTCATAAGTATTATACACAAGCATTCATGAAATCATTTATGCCGAATTTAATGAACAAAATTATTGAAATCAAGTCTCAAACAAAATCGATTGGATTACTACGAAAGCGTTTGCTTCAAGCCGATACAAATAAATAACTCATTGCTTTAATTTTTTCTAAAAAAAAATCCATGTAAAGTTTATTAGAATTATTAGAAAATTTTTATGACCTAGCCTGGTTTTCTTTATTTAACTTTTGGTAACTAATAGTGCTTATCTTTAGCTTATTGCCCTTAAATAAGTAGTTGTATTTCATTGTACTATTGTATTTTATTGTACTATTGTATTTTATTGTACTATTGT